GGTCAGGTTTGTGAAGTACACAGTGTGGAGTGCAGCTTTGACAGCCCATTCACTCAAATGGGGTGCAGTAGAATACAGAAAAAGTAGTGCAACCGTGAGATATAGTGGCCGGAAACGCTGCGTTCGCAAGGCCTGTTTGTGGCGCCATTAATATTTCACTGACGCACGCACGCCTCTCCCAAGGGCAGCACATTCACCCGCAGTGCGAGAGACGCCTTTCCTGCAGCGGGCCCTTAAAGCAGTATTAAACCCACACAGACACGTTTGGTCCACATTTCACTTCTTGAACAAACTTTATTTCACACCTGTTAAGTGTCATGCTTCACAAAACGCGTCAGCTGCTTTTGAGGTGTTTAAAGAATTTATTTAGAAAAACAGGTAGGTGTACATAGACATTTTCTGCATTTGTGACCTTTTCTTCTTTTAGGTTTTTAGAGCTTTAAGCAATGACAATGACCCATTCATTATTACATACAAATGAATTCCCAAAATCCATCGTTTGGTCTTCAACATATGGAACCTTTTCCCTGCAAAGTCCGAGAGATCCGGCCTACCCCTGGCTTAGCATTTCCTAATGTGGGCAGTGAAAAAATTTTTGTTTTCTCATTTTGGATAAAGTAAGGGAGGTTATAACCCCTGTCAGGTTTTTGTGCCTAATTAGGGAGATTTCCCTTCACTTCGTGTCCCATAATCCATCAAGAGTGAGGAAATCCCTGGTTTTCATCAGAATTACTGTCCCCATTGGATGGTAATCCCTTCAAATCCAGTTCTGGTGAGAACCCAAAATTTTGGATTTTCTTCCATTTTCAATTTTGGTGATAGCGGTGAACAGAACAAATAGGGTGAATCTTCCTAACGGGGACACAGACAGCAAGAGCGGAATCACCGCAAAGCTTGTCACCCAGAAAAGGAGCAGGAGCTTCTTTTGAGGGTCACTATCATGCATAGGCAGCCCATTGAGGCCCCATTCATCCTTGACAATTTGGAATCAAGGGTGGAATCACCATGAAGCTTGTCACCCAAAAAGGAATGGGAGCTTCTTTTGAGGGTCACTATCGTGCATAAGGAGCCTATTAAGGCCCCATTCATCCTGGGCAATTTGGAATCAAGGGCGGAATCACCGTGAAGTTTGTCACCCAAAAAAGGAGCAGGAGCTTCTTTTTGGTCACTATCACGCATAGGCAGCCCATTACGGCCCCATTCGTCCTTGGCAATTTGGAATCAAGGGTGGAATCACCACAAAGCTTGTCACCCAAAAAAGGAGCAGGAGCTTATTTTGAGGGTCACTATTGTGCATAGGCAGCCTATTGAGGCCCCATTCAACCTTGACATTTCAGAATCAAGGGCGGAATCACCGCAAAGCTTGTCACCGAAAAAGGAACAGGAGCTTCTTTTGAGGGTCACTATAGCGCATAGGCAGCCTACTGAGGCCCCATTAATCCTTGGCAATTTGGAATCAAGGGCGGAAGCAACGTGAAGCTTGTCACCCAAACAAGAAGCAGGAGCTTCTTTGAGGGTCACTATCACGCATAGGCAGCCCATTGAGGCCCCATTCAACCTTGACAATTTGGAATCAAGGGTGGAATCACCACGAAGCTTGTCACCCAAAAAGGAATGGGAGCTTCTTTTGGGTCACTATAACACATAGGCAGCCTATTGAGGCCCCATTCAGCCTTGGCAATATGGAATCAAGGGCGGAACCACCACAAAGTTTGTCACCCAAAAAGGAACAGAAGCTTCTTTTGAGGGTCACCATCGTGCATAGGGAGCCTATTAAGGCCCCATTCATCCTTGGCAATTTGGAATCAAGGGCGGAATCACCGTGAAGTTTGTCACCCAAAAAAGGAGCTGGAGCTTCTTTTTGGTCACTATCACGCATAGGCAGCCCATTGAGACCCCATTCAACCTTGGCAATTTGGAATCAAGGGCGGAATCACCGTGAAGTTTGTCACCCAAATAAGGAGCAGGAGCTTCTTTTGAGGGTCACTATCGTGCATAGGCAGCCTATTGAGGCCCCATTCAACCTTGGCATTTCGGAATCAAGGGCGGAATCACCGTGAAGCTTGTCACCCAAACAAGGAACAGGAGCTTCTATTGAGGGTCACTATCGCGCATAGGCAGCTTACTGAGGCCCCATTAAGCCTTTGGCAATTTGGAATCAAGGGCGGAATCACCGCGAAGCTTGTCACCCAAAAGGAGCAGGAGCTTTTTGGGGGGGCAACTAACATGCATAGGCAGCCCATTGAAGTGAGTTTCCGCTACATGAAGTGTGATTGGGTCCTGAAGTTAATGGGCTGCTCTATGTGTGACACCCGTGAAATCGCGTGAAAATCTCCCACACAAAATCCCCGAGCAGGAACGCAAGATCCCGCTACACAAGGTGTGACTGGGGTCTGAAGGGCCAGCCCACTCAAAAGTGATATTTCAGCCCTAAGTTGGACCAGTCACATCTAACGTTTCTGGGGAAACTCCTTTGACAAGGTCACCAGTCGGAGCAGCAAGCCTATCCTCCAAATGCAGCAAGTACAAAGCCCTCAACCATAGAAAAAGCCCTGTGCAAGCTGAAAGTCAATCTGGTTGACACTTGAAGGATTCTTGACCCTTTCTGCTCGACCTGCCGCTCCATTGTGGGAGCAAAGGGACAGTGTTACACATCCTACATACCATGGCCAAGCCGTGATGGCGTCACCAGCTGCAGAACTTATGAATAGTCCCTAAACATGTTTAGGAGATATTTATTGTACCTACAGGTAAGCTTTCTTGAAGGTACAAGTGACGAAGTGGAGTTTACTACCACCCTAATGCCCACCCAGCCAGCATCACATACTCCCTTTTTCTTTGTTCCCTTGTCACTCCATTAAGCCACCTGGAATGGGAAAGGAAGGTCCAGTTGGGCCAGGCAAGAGGGTACTTCACTGCTGGCACCCCCAGTCTTTGTGTGCTCCCACACTCCATTCAGTTGTGGTGAGTCATGAAAGGAACTCCAATATAGAATTGCTCTAATCTGAGCTTACACAGGGCTAAAGACTCTTTTCCTGCCACCACGTGACAGCACTAGGCCAATCACAGTGTAGCAGTGTTGTCACATGATGAAATGGGGACTGAGTCACATGCACCTCTAAAACTGGGGACTTTCTTTGGCAGCTGATTAGGGTGGCAGGGGAGTGAAGGAAATGTATGTGCTGCTGGAGAAGGCAGCAATAAATGACTTTGTTTCTAGTTTAAAAAAAATTGCCCTCCCCTAGGATTTACCCCCCCCCCCCCTTCCTGACCAGGCCATTTTTTGCATTACGGCGCTGCGTTACTTTAACTGACAATTGCGCCGTCATGCAACGTTGCACCAAAATTAAATTTACATCTTTTTTTCCCCACAAATTTCTTTTTCGGTGGTATTTGATCATCTGTGTGTTTTTTTTTTGCGATATAAACAAAAAAAACGACAATTTTGAGAAAAAAAAAAAACAAATATTTTTGACTTTTTGCTATTAATCATGTCCAGTAAAAAAAAAGTTTAAAAAATCACATTTCTTCATAAATTTAGGCCATAATGAATTCTGCTCCATTTCTTGTCTAAAAAAATCCCAATAGGTGAAAATTAATTGGTTTACGTGAAAGTTATAGCGTCTAAAAATGGCAGTATAGATTCTGGGATTTCTTTCTTTCTTTTTTTTTTTTTTTTTTTACTAGTAATGGCGGCGATCAGCGACTTATAGCGGGACTGCGGCGGACATTCTGGCACTGGGGGAGGGGAATTGATTTGGTGTCACTGACATCCCCTAGTGACACCAATACAGTGATCAGCATTAATAAAAAGCACTTACACTGTACTAATGGCACTGGGCAGGAAGGGGTTAACATCTGGGGCAATCAAAGGGTTAACTGTGTGCTGTGCTTTCCACTGTAAGCATACTGCTTTGAAATGACAGATTATGCAGAGCCATACAAAGCAGTGTGCTGGAGCTGACAGGGGAGAGATCTGTGTTGTTTATATACAGTTCTCTCCCCCGTCAGTAATGCTCAGCGATCACCGGGTGCCGGCGAGTAATCACTGTTCGGGACCTGGTGACTGACAGCTGAGGCTGCGAATAGTGGTGCGGGCAGGCTGAGCGCGCGCGCCCTTACCTGGATATGCAAAATCACGTGATTTTGCGCACCCCTGCTGTCCTGTAGCAGTGTATCTTCTATAGGGCGGTGGGAAAGCGGTTAAAAAAGAAACACTTTCCTGCAAAACTATTAAGGGCCGGTTCAAACTCCATGCGTTTCAGTTACTTTTTTTTTCTGCATCCAAAACGCACAGAAAGTAGGTTCTATGGTGGTCAATGTCCTAGTTCACATCAGTGCTTGTGGTTCCAGTGCGTTCCGGTTGCAGAAGAAAAAAGTAGAACAGGCTGCATTTTTTCTGCACAGAACTGTACTGGAATGCGGTAAAATGCATTAAAAAAACCGCACTAAAACGCATGTCCCTATTTAAATTGAAGAAAAAGAGAGGAGGAAAAAATAAACTGGAATGCATAAAAATTGCACTGGAACGCACATGCGGAAACGCATCTGGACTGCGTTTCTATAGTGTGAACTGGCCCTAATACTTTCCCTCCCACCGTTCACTCTGCTGATCTCCGCTGTGTTCAACTGCTACCCCAGGTGAAAAATCTTCCGCACCCGACACTTCCTGTGTGAGGTTCCATCTGTGGGTCCCCATGTGACGTCACGACGCAGTAAAGACGTAACATCAGGAGTTGGAATTACAGAGCCCAGCAGGGGACCAGGAATCTGATCCACCTTGAAATGTGTCCAATGCAGAAGCCTGTGTAGTGTAGAGCAGGGCTTAAAATTTCAAGTCCTGAGCTACTAGCCAGGCCTTAAGAGTAACTCGCCACCAACAAACACACACAAACAAACAGAGACACCTGTACACACACAGACATGTACACACACGCACAGAGACACATGTTCACACAGACAGACACATGTTTACACACACAGGCACGTACAGACAAGCATACACACAGATACATGTACATACACAGAAATACACATGCACAGACACATGTACATACACACAGACACATGTACATACACGCAGACACATGTACAGATACACACATGTACATACACACAGACACATGTACATGCATACACAGACACACACAAACACACACACACACACACCCATAAAAAGTTGCAGTACTTTGTTGTTCACTCACAGAGCCGGGTACTGCACTCTAGGGGGAGGCAGAGAGCACAGCACACACACCTTCCTTTGCTTTCACTGCGCTCAGCTATTGAGCAGTCTGACAGCTCCCAGTTCCAATGACAGATCCGGCCTCAGCTCCGAGCCTGCTCAGCAAGACGGCCTTGGGGGACACACTTGCCCCCACCATAATTTCCACTCACCATTGGCGAGCAGGTGAGTGGAAATTTCAAGCCCTGGTGTAGAGGACAGCATGGGAGGCAGGAGGCTTAAACTCACTAGCAGCTACAGAGTGGGACCCTTGACCTCTGTGTGAAAGCAGTGGTCTCTCTGCAGACATCCAACGGGCCCTCTGCTGTGTCAGGGTGAGAGTTCTACAATCTGTAAGGAACTTTGCTGACAGCAGAGCTATAGGTCTGACTCAGCAGAGGATGTGGCAGACCTCTGCGGAGAGACCTCTGCTTACCCACAGATAGCAACCTTTTCTGCAGCTGCTGGCAGGGGGACAGGTTTTTTTTACTTCATAGTGGAAACAAACGAGTACACTGAACAATTTTTGTTTTGTTGTTCACTTGAAAATGTACTTAGCGGATTTAAACCAAGGTTCAATTGGACTTTCATCTTAAAGCAGAGTTTTCTTTTTATTCTGATTGCCGCATCCTCATGTAGGAAGCGCCCATCACATGTAAGTACAGTCAGGGCCGCTGTTAGAAACAACAGGGCCCAATACAGCCCCTCCCCCCCTCCCAAAAAAAAACAACACGATTTACTATGCTTCAGTTATGAATGAGCACAGTGAGCGCTAGGTACCGACCACTCATTGTGTTCTTTCAGAAACAGAGTGTTGCATGACCGCGCAATTACCAGTTAAAGTAACGCAGCACTGAGTAGCAAAAAAATGGTCTGGTCATGAAAGGGGGTAAAACCTTCCAGAGCTGAAGTGGTTAAGAGTCTACTCATTCCTGACCACCAAGCTCCACCCATAACAAAATATCACTTCTGGGCGGACTGACCTCTTCTTTCTTTATGATTAGTGCAAAGCCCAGGGTGGCTGTTAGAAACCATGGGGCCCCGTACAGCCATCCTAGTAGGGCCTCCCCCCCCCCCCCCCCCCCCCAAAAAACACAATTTACTAAGTTTTAGTTACGAATGAACACAGTGAGTGTTAGTCATCATTCACTCCTTGTGTTCATTCAAGAAAGAAAGGTGCTGGTAAATGTGACATTATACAGGACCCTTCCCCTACTCTCCATCCTACTGTGTGCTTGCAGCTGCTGGAGGAAAGGAGAGGATGGATGTTGCCAGCACCGTGGGGGTGGGAGCACACAGGGGGGCCTGGGCAGCAGGGGGAAATGCATTGTGCACAGGGATGAGGGGTGCGGCGAAGGGGGGGGGGGGCAATTACTGGAACTGATCCCCTGCATGACTCTCTCTGCAGCAGCTGATAGCCAGTGAGAAAGAGAGGAGGAATACCAGCAGCACTGTAGGGGCACATAGGGGGGCATGGGCAGCAGGGGAGAATGCATGGTGCACAGGAGTGATGGGTGCGGCAAAGGGGGGGGGGGGGGGGCAATTACTGGAACCGATCCCCTATGTGGCTCTCTCTGCAGCAGCTGAAAGCCAGTGGGAAGGAGAGGAGGGATGCCAGCAGCACCGCAGGATGGGGGCACAGAGGGGGCATGGGCAGCATGGGGAAATGCATGGTACGCAGGAGTGATGGGTGCGGCGAAGAAGGGGGCAATTACTAGAACCGATCCCCTGTATGGCTCTCTCTGCAGCAGCTGAAAACCAGTGGGAAGGAGAGGAGGGATACCAGCAGCACTGTAGGGATGGGGGCACAGAGGGGGCAGTGGCAGCAGGGGGAAATGTATGGTATGCAGGAGTAATGGGTGCAGCAAAGGGAGGGGGGGCAATTACTGGAACAGATCCCCTGTATGGATCTCTCTGGAGCAGCTGAAACCAGTGGGAAGGAGAGGAGGCATACCAGCAGCACTGTGGGGATGGGGGCACAGAGGGAGGCATGGGCAGCAGGGGGGAATGTATGGTACACAGGAGTGATGGGTGCGGCAAAGGGAGGGGGGCAATTACTGGAACCGATCCCGTGTATGGCTCTCTCTGCAGCAGCTGAAATCCAGCCGGAGAGAGAGGAGAAGCCAGCTTTCAGATGCTGCAGAGAGAGCCTATCCTACCAACATCCAATAAACCCAGCTGCCTGGGCCCCCCCCCGCTGGCCTGGGCCCCGTACAGGAGGACTGGTAGTACCCCCATATCCCCAGCCCTGATTACAGTCACCCCTTAAAGCTGTGGTTAGGAAGGGGAATTGCTTTGATCCTGGGCATGAACTCGTTTGGTATGCTTCACCAGATCTGATTTATCGGTAAAAGCCTTCCCGCAATAGTAACAGGAATGGGGTCGATCGCCGGTGTGAATCCTGTGATGTATGGTGAGGTAGGACCGATCGGTAAAACATTTCCCACATTCCAAACAGGAATACGGCTTCTCCCCAGTGTGAACTCTTTCGTGTCTGAGAAGAGAAGACTTGCGGGAAAAACATTCGCCACACGCAGAACAGGAGAAGGGCTTTACCCCAGAGTGAGTCTTCTGATGCGTGATAAGGTGGCCAATCTGGGTAAAACATTTGCCGCATTCAGAGCACGAGTAAGGCTTCTCGGCTGTGTGAGTCCTCTCGTGGTTGGTGAGATTCGACCTGTCGGCAAAACACTTCCCGCACATGGAGCACGAAAACGGCTTCTCCCCTGTATGAATCCTCTGGTGTCTGATAAGTTGGTACTTCCAAGAAAAACATTTCCCGCACACCAAACACGCGTATGGTTTCTCCCCCGTGTGAGCGCTCTGATGCGAAATGAGGGTGTCCTTCCGGGAAAAACACTCTCCGCACTCGGAACAGGAAAAAGGCTTCTCGGACGTGTGGCTTCTCTCATGGGTGATCAGAGACGACCTTTCGGTAAAACACTTCCCACACTCCAGGCAGCAGTGTGGCTTCTCGCCGGTGTGAACTTTTCCGTGCCGAAGGACGAACGATTTCTGTGAAAAACTTTTACCGCAAATGGTACACGAGTACGGCTTCTCCCCCGAATGAGTCCTCTGGTGCCTCACGAGATCTGACCGCTGCGTAAAACATTTCCCGCACTCAGAACATGAAAACGGCTTGTCGCCGCTGTGCCTCGTTTGATGTCTCCGAAGGAAAGATTTTTGGGCAAAACACTTTCCACACTCGGGACATGAATACGGCTTCTCCCGCCGGGTGCGTCCTTTGGTGCGAGGCGAGTTCTACTTGCTCGGCAAAGCATTCACCACACTCAGGACACGGGAAACTTTCACTCTCATTGCCAGCTGAAGGATTGTCAACGGGGGGTGAGCCATCAGCCAAATCTTCTTCATGTGTAGAGGGATTGGAGGATGGAGCTATGCTGTGACGTAGTGGGCGGAGTTTTTGGGAAGAGGATTTTTTTCCTGCATGACCTTCTGTGACATCATCATCTTCCATATCACCATGTGGAGAGCCAATGGGATGTCTCCCTTTATTGCACCTTTTGTATTGTCCATCTGAAGGCAAGAAGATTTACAATTATTCAGACCTTTTTTTTTTTTTTTTTTTTTTATTCGGAATGTAAAGCCTTCAATTATTTTTTTATAAAGGAGATGTAAATAATAATCATATCAATGTGAGTAAACCCCTCACCCTCCAGAAGATTTACCGCCCCTTTCTGACCAGGCCATTTTTTTTCATTTCTTTAACTGACAATTTCGCGGTCATGCAACACTGCACCCAAATTAAATTTACATCCTTTTTTTCCCACAAATAGAGCTTTCCTTCGGTGGTATTATCTGCATTTTTTTATTTTTTTGCACTATAAACAAAAAAAGACCGACAATTTTGAAAAAAAAAATATTTTTTGACTTTACATATCCAGTAAATAAATTACAAATTTAAAAAAAAAATGTATTCTGCTCCATGTCTTTACTAAAAAAAATCCCAATACGTGTAAAATTAATTGGTTTACGTGAAAGTTATAGCGTCTAAAAATGGCGGTGTATATACTGGAATTCCTTTTTTTCCCACAAATGGAGCTTTCTTTCGGTGGTATTTGATCGCCTCTGCGTTTTTTTTTATTTTTTTGCACTAAACAAAATAAAAACGACAATTTTGAGAAAAAAAAAAAATTAAATATGTCCACTAAAAAAATGTAAAAAAAATCTAATTTCATCATAAATTTAGGTCAAAACGTATTCTGCTCCATATCTTTGCAACTTAGATACTGGGATTTTTTTTTTACTAGTAATGGTGGCGATCAGCGACTTATAGCGGGACTGCGGCGGGCATTCTAACACTGGGGGAGGGAACAGACTTGGTGTCACTGACATCCCCAGTGACACCAATACAGTGATCAGTGCTAATAAAAAGCATTGACACTGTACTAATGATACTGAGCAGGAAGGGGTTAACATCTGGGGCGATCAAAGGGTTAACTGTGTGCTTGGAGTGTTTTAGTAGGGGGCGGGTGTTGTCCATGTGCTTCACTGCAAGCACACTGCTTTGGATGTTTGAAAGCAGTGTGCCCGAGCTGACAGGGAGGAGAACTGTTAGTAAACAAAGCAGTCCTCCTCCCTGTCTGAGATCCTTGGTAATCATCTGGGGGCAATCAAAGGGTTATCTGTGTGCTGTGCTTTACACTGTAAGCACACTGCTTTGTATGGCTCTGCATGCATGCGCTGACAGCAGAGAGCACTGTATTGTTTACAATACAGTTCTCTCCCCCGTCGGTAATTCTCGGAGTTCGCCGGGTGCCAGGGGGAAATCGCTGGCCGGGTAGGGTGTGCGCACCCCCTACAAAGAACTGCAAAATCACATTATATATATATATATATATATATATATATATATATATATATAGACCTATATGTGATTTTGTGCCCTGTAGCAGTATTTCTACTATAGGGTGGCGTGGAAACGGTTAATGTGGAAAAAAAAAAAAAACTTCTTTCTGTGTATGGTTTTATATACACTCATGGGGGCAGCCATATTTCCTCAACATATTTACACTGGATGGTTGCATTTTACTGCTCCTTCTCACACTGACTCACTGTAAACAATGCACTCCCTGTGCGGCTGACATTTTAGCAACCCGTGACTGCATGTGTGCGCTCCCTCTAGTGCAGGGGTGTCCAAACTATGGCTCTCCAGCTGTTGAAGTGCTATAAGTCCCATCGTGCCTCTGTGAGTCTTGCCTG